GGGAGGCAAGGGGGTAGCTGGTACAGTTTACGGGAAATAAAAAGGGATTTTTACAATTTACAAGAAAAAAAGACGTTTTTACAGTTTACAGTGTTAAAAAATGGAACATTGAATGGTCCAAAGAGCTCCCCGACTCAAATTCTCCGTCATTGCTGCGCCGTGTGTAGAGACGTATGCGCATATTACCCTCGTAATGCTCTTCATCCGGTTAGAGGGCCTTTTACGTCTTGACATTCAATTTTGTAGTGAATTGTGTCATCTAGTTGTTTTACAGTTTCTAAAATGTAATTTCCCTGGATTATTCTTTACGATTTTTTTTATTTGGTGTAAATTCTTGTACGTACCGAGAAAAATGACACATTTTTACAGTGTACGAAAAAAATATTTGATTGATTACATTGTGATTACAGAATTACGGAATTTATTTTTTCAATTTACATTGTACGAACAAAAAAATATTGCAATTACGTTGAACGAGAATAACCCTTGCCCCCCCTTTTAACAGGTTTGGGTCAAAACAGTTTGTACTGGTGTAAAAATGTATCAGATTAGACTGTTTGGTTCTACCCATGTATTGGTTGTAGTATTATACCACTGCTAGGGCAGAATGGGAGAATGCAACTTTCTGTTCATCTTCTCTCCTGAATCCCTCTCAAAGGAAAGTAAATTTGAATCTCGCCATACAACAGCGACTGTCTCATCTCTTTGCCTAGAGGTAAACTGACCTCTCTGCAAGGTAGTTATTTTATCACTCTCTGGATTTCTCCGTGGGTTGGTTTTAAGGGCATCAGGAAACCCTACCCTGTCTTGTCTGACACTCCCCACTACATAAGTATGGTGATGGGCAAGGAGATGTTCTGCCATATTTATACTAGTGTAGAAGCTATCAGTATACAATATATGGTAGAGTCTTCTGATAGGTTGAATCAAATCAACACAAATAGCAATTGTCTTGGATTCATTGTGCTGGTCTTGGTCATGGCTTCCAGTCATGAATACCATGTGATATATGTACTGAGTTACTGAATCAGTGAGAGCATACACTTTAAATGCTTTGGGTTTTCCCTGGATGTGAGCAGTGGGAATCTTATTATACCGACCCTTGTATGCAATGATAGCCTCATCAATTGCAACATGCCGATGAAGATTGTAACACTTCCTTGAACGTTGCATTATTACATCCAATACAGGGGCTACTTTGTACATGGGTTGGGCTCTGCATTGCCTTGTTCTCTCAGTGATATCAGTGATGTTGGCAGGGTCACTAGCTGCATCATTGCAATGAAAGTATTGCATCAACTTTTGGAATCGGTTTCTACTCATTATTTTTTACAGAATGAGCTAGAAAATGAGAATATAAAATGATGAGTAAAATGTACTTTTTTTAAAAAACAAAATCAATTATAAAATAAAAATTTTGATATTTTTTAGTTTATCAAATTTATGGGCTAATGAGCCATTGGGTCGGTGTTGTGTTGCCCTTTCAGCTGTTGGTTCGTGGGCGGTTTATTCTTAAAAAAACAATGATCTGTAGCTAGCTTGAATGAGAAGTTGATCCACCAAACACTAGCTACCATAGATACTGTGATTCAAGAGTACAATGTTTGTTGTTAACTTGCGTGAATGGATAAACCTTTTTTTTTGACAATGTTATCACAAAAAAAGAACAAAGTTTCATATCAACTTGTGTATGGAAAAAACATAGCGGATATTGTATTGCTTCAAGTGTTTGCATGCGTTGAAAATATGTACTTACAATGAAACTAAAAAGTTGAATTTTACATGCACTGTCAACTTCTTCATAAAATCAGCTTACCTGACTGCTTTTATATTTTATAGGAAACTTTGATGATTCATAAGGAAATTAATAGTAGATATTTTGAAAATTTTTAGTAAAAATAAAATATCATATGCTAAATTTCTTTCAGATTTGATATGTAGGTGAACATCTCTCAGGCTCATTCATTTCATGCTATTTTTAATTCTCTAATCTTAGTAATAATTTTTGTACTTTTTGGTAAAAAAAATTATTTTTGACTTCTTCTTGAAAACAACTTTTGTTAAAAGTCATTGAGCAGCAAGCCATTGTCCTATTTTTAATAAGTTGTGCATCCTAACATATGCCCAATCAGGTATATCAATGACATTCCATTCCCCCTATCTGGTATATCAATGACATTTCATTCCACCTACTCATGCTAATTCTTTACACATTGTACTCAGTCAGCTTATGAAAAAAATCAATTTCAATAAAATCTTTCCACAATAATGATTTCATTAGAATCTACAGTATGTGGACCCTGTGTACAACTACATATCTCTTTCATCTGACTGCAGCGTAACCAAGCAACCATTGGGAAATACCATACAATGAAAAGTGGACTTTATACAAAAATTTAATACCTGAGGTTGTAATAAAAATATTTTCTTTCCCTGTCTGTGCCAAAACTGTGTTGTTGCTATGCAATGGGTAAATGTTTTTAAATATCACCGTAGAACCCCTTGTTTTCTGCTCATGTCTTCAAATAGGTTTTAATTGGGTGCCAAGTTACCATGAAACTTCATATATGAGAAAATTTTCAAAGAGTGCTGATATGTTTTGAAACAAGTACTGATGCAGAACGACGAATTTTATTGTTTTCTGTGCTAGATTTATAATTATGTTTTTTATGACTATTCTTTCAAGGTTTGAAAGAGTTAACACTGAGCGCAAATCCAAGCATATCACCAAGTGGTTGGGCCCATTTTGCAGTTGCTTTAGCAGCGGGCTCATCAATAAAACTACTTAATTTAGATTACAACAATATTGGAGATTATGGATCAGGTTTGCTAGCGGTTGCTATAGCATCCAGTAAAACATTGGAAGTTATTGACTTGGAGGCTACTGGAGTTACGCAGCAAGGTGGAGAAGTAAGTCCTCATTATTCTAATTTGGTGTTAATTGTGGTTTAACTTACAACATCTTAATTCTTGTTTCAGTTTGAAAAATTAGCAAATATTATGTGTGGGTGTGATATAATAACTGTAATATATGATTGCTGTTTCCAGGTTTTGCTTGATTTGGTGCAAAATTACCCAACACCACTCAGAGAATTGAATCTCACTGAAAATTATATCACGGTAGATGTAGAGGTAGAAATAAACGAGCTTCTTGGTTACGATGATGAAGAGTCTGATGATGACGATGAGGATGTGTCAGATGACGATGAGGACAAGAAAGAGGAAAAAAAAGAAGAGGATGTCAAGAGTAAATTCAAAGATGATGAAAAGACTGTGCCAAAAGTAACAGCAAAGGAAAAGGCATCATATTCTACTTTGAGAGAAAATACAGCCGAAGCTTTTGACAATTATGAAAAAGAAAAAAGTACTCCCAATAATTCAGGTGAAAAAGGAAATAGCAGCACTTCAAACAATAGTGGTGATGAAAGGAGAAGCAGTTCCCATAATAATAATAGTTACAGAATGAACAGTAGAAGTAGCAGCTTTTCTAGCACTCTTAGTAATAACAGTCTAATGCACATGAGTAGAAATACTATAGAAAATAGAAGTGTGTCTTGGAGGTCTCCACCTGTGTCAGGTGAGCATAATTTTAATGCATTCCGAAATACAGAGCGAAGAAAATACAGACCATTACCAGTACCAGGAAAACCAGTCAAGGCATAGTGGCATATTATGTCATTAACCATGATTCCTGCCAATGAATTTAGAATTCAGACAGCATTATTGATTGTCATCTAATGATGTGATCAATAATACACAAGATACATACTTGTTTTGCTCTGTATACAGCCTTACTCATTAAAACCTTGTTTTTTAATGGCAGAATATAGAGCCATTTTGGAAGTGTGATTGGATATGAAAACATGGTACACAAAAAATAATTTCTGGTCAAGTTGTTTAAAGTGGGAGGGTCGTCACCTGTGCACGTGCGAGAATTGAGTCCCAAATGATGATAACAATACATGCTAAAAGTGCAAAGGCTCATGGGTAGACGCTTGTTTGTAAACAATGACACGCTATGGCCATCTGACACAGGTGACGACTCACTCGCTTTAAATTTCTAGAGGCATACCTTTTTTAATTTTTATTTTAATTTCCAAATTTAATAAAAATTACGCTTTTAGTTCATATAAATTTAGTATTTCTTCTAAATTTCTCATAAAAATGTTTCTAAAATGTTTAGCTAGTGCACTTGATGACCAGAAACACTGATATTGTTTTTATGGGCCATTCCTACCAAAAGTACGATATGTCAAAAATGTGCTAGTGACATTAACTCCATTTACAATTCAATGATATATTTATCATTAATGAAAGTAGTTTGCCAAAGAGTTTGCCAATAAACAAATTAATTCATTATCTGTTTTTAAATGGAAATATTTCTGATATATTGTTGTTCAATAATGATAAAAAATGGGACTAATATATTTTTAAAAGGATTTATTCTCAATAAATGTTCTTAAACATCATTCTTTATAGATCAAATGCATCATAATGTATAGTGGATTAAATGAGTAATAAGTCTAATATTAAAATGTAATAATTTCAGTGCAATATAAAAAATTGACACATGCTCAATGAAGGGTATTTTTAAAATCACATATTTTTCTATGTGGGTGGGTGGCGTGGGGAGGGAAGAAAATGGAAGGGGGGGGGGGTTGTACTTTTTCAGTGTAATTTAGTGTGTGTTTTGAAGCTATGAATATAAATGTGACTTTTCGACTTTTTTGCAGAACACACTCTATTATTGGTTGTTCAAATCAACTTTTCAGACAAAATGTGCACCAGAGTTTTTGCGGAGGGCATCACTGAATGAGTGATTGGAAAGTCTTTGATACATATTGTTTGGCATTCCCATCATTACAGTACAACACATGTCAAAACAAATGAAACATTTGAATCTTGAAACCAGGACAGCATATATTCTGTCAACCCTATTTTATTTCTATGTAAAACATTATATTAAAAAGAAACAATCACTGGTGCAGCCCTGCTTCAATTTTCCATTTATTTTCAATTACTATCGAGAGTGCGTGTACATACCAGCAGAATTGACTAATAAGTGATTATTCCAGCTATAAAGGATAGGATTTCAGAACGGAAATGAAAAACAGTCAAGTTTTGCCAGTAAAAAAGGAAGTAAATTATCTAGATGGCATTGTGTATAAAATGTGAGCTTATTTCCTAAATGTATTAGAATGACATGTAGCTGGCATTATAAGAGTATTTTCATACAACAGACTGGATTCTATTAAAAGATTTCCAGGAATGATAGACACTTCTTACTAAACTCATTTTAGATGAAATTGAAGCTTGTTCATTGCTTGTTAGTTGTCTGTTCATTACATAAAATACTTTGATACAAGTCTCTTAAAAAGACTTTGAAGTCATAAATTGGTAATTTGAATGCAATTTTAATTTTGTACAATTTTATTTCAAGATTTTTCATGTTTGCTGGATAAATTTATTTCAGCTTTGTCATTCTGTAATTTTTTATTGTAATTTTCTTGGGGAGGGTTAGGGAATAATTAGTTTAATAACACATTTATACAGACAATTACATTTGTTGCATTCTGAGTCATTACAATATTGTTTATTTTGACTATAAGAAACAACCAATTTACGTAAGTGTTTACGCTACTAATAGACTAGATGCTGTCTATTATTGTGAGGCTTTGAAAATTCTATCAACAATAGACTAGTGAATCGGCCTGGAGGGCTGTGGGTGGGCCTTGCATGCAAGTCAGTCTGCACCCCCGTCTGCTCATGCAATGGTAATGTACTGAAGTCAGGGAGACAGTCAATCAGTGATGACACAGAATTCAGTGCTATTTACATGTTTACATAGTGATTCACCAGACCATTTTGAGTATATTGGGTACTCTAAATGACAGGATTCTAGGCTATGCTACGAGTAGAGCAAATACGATAATACCATATTTATATGTGAATCTCCAATAGAAACATACATAAACTAAAATTCCATTGACTGTGTCCTGGATTGATATTATACAACTTATTATGATTTATTATATGGGAGGTTAAAATCACTAAAAACTTGATTTGATACAAGGCTTTTTGTTATATAGAAATGGTATAATGTATGTATGTATTCTTCTTGAATTAGTTGCATGGTTTCATTTTGTTGCTGTACTGGTTTTATCTAGTCATTTATGTGATTCTGAAATAGTGCCATGTAATCTAGCAATTTTCCTTACAAGTATTATTCTGATGTTGGATTTTATTTTATTAATTGTCAAATATATTACTGCAAGTTTTTTATTGAATTAATCTTTTCACTTGTGCTTTTAAGTCACAAATTACAAGAATTTATAAATTAGTCACTTACAGTCTGCAAAATTACATTTAACTGTTTTTCTATAAATAATGGCTGGTTTCCAGATTTAACATGCATTGATGCCTAGTGACTGGCTGAGTCATGTTAATAATCAGTCTGTATAATCAGGATTGCTAAGTTACTTAATTGCAACCATTATAACAGCTCATAAGTCACTAAGCTGTATAGCTCTGATGACATATAATCTCAAGGTATCAATGTAGCAATTTGATTCATGTGACTGAAAGCAATTATATCTTTGCTGTAGTAGTACAATGTATAAGCCAATGGGAACTCAGTGTTGACTGGTAGCACAGTTACAATTACACTGATGTTTTGATAACAGGTTATGCAGTGTCATTCAGCCACACTTACATGATTCTAATTTTGTCATGGCAAGTTTCTTCTTTATTTCAAAAAATATATAGGATCATTCTTATTATTTGTACAAAAATAAAAATCTCTGATTGTGTCATCAATCACATTGATGTACATTTATAGTGCAAATACTATACTGTTCTCCTGCTGTGCTTATTGCTTATTTCAATACATGTGTTTTCATACCTGCAGGGCGACTTACAGAAAGCTTAGCAAATAACCCAAACTAAATGTCTGCATTTTCATAGCTATTGGTCATCATGATTGAGTTGGGTATATTATGTACCGTAGTTGGATATTTGTTTGGAAGCAAGTGTGTTATAGGGGCCATTAAATATTTGAAAACTGACATGCCCAAGAGATGGAGCAAAAAATTGAATAATTGCACATTTTTCAGAAGGGTTGTTATTCAGTGGTGAGCTAATGGAAAGTTCTATCGTTATAGCTAATTAAGCGATGTATATATATATCACATTTCTTTCCCTGTCAGCCTAATGCATGTTATCCACCAATTCATCACTGGCAGAAAGGTTGACCAAATGGGCTCATGTAAAATTCATCACTTCTCTAAGTGACTGTAGTGGTATATACCAATTTGTCTTAGATGTCCATTGGGAGATACAACAATGTTGTATACTTGCTTTTGAATTGTCATACTACAAATGTTCTATATATTACCCACCAAAATAACATTTTATGTCATTTTAATAAATGAATTAAAAAAATGGACCACCATATCATATTTTAGCTAATTGTAATCATTTAATAAATACAAATTAATTTGTTCTGTATTATTTATTTAATTCTGTCAAATCTTTCTGTATCTCAAGATTTGTATCGCTGAAGGCACTTGTATGCCTATTATTCTATCCTCTCAAAGTAGGGGAACATTAAAAAAAAACACAAACTACTGAACAAGGATACCTCATGTGTATTGTGCACTTTGTCCCATTACTACAATTCCCAGTGGGAGGTATAGTAATTGTGTGATCAGCATAAGAAAATCATGAATAATTTAATTGACATCTGCTGATGCTAATGTTGATGTAATCTCAAGTAAACTATTTTATTCAGTAATGCAATCATGAAAAATATGGTGATATTTTATTTTGAATTTTAAAAATATGAATAAACTGATTGTTAATTAGCATCGTGAAATTTTCGTCCAAACAAAAATAATACAATTCACTTCTTTTTTGTTGCAATATAACTAGTTGGTTGCTCTCTGCTGCAGACAGAATGCATCAGCAGAGTACTAAAGTGCTCTTTAGAGAAACTACTTTGTACAATTGAACAAGAATGATAAATTTCAAGAGTTGAAAAGTATAAGGCTCAATTGCTTGTCAAATATAATGTGTGTTAGTCAGTGTGAGGTTGTGACAACATGCACTTATGATCTACATCTACTTGGGGAATATACAAATAGTGACTCCTGTTATTATGCCATGGTTAGGAAAGTAACAAATGTCAAACCAACTATATCAGACAACAACCTATCATGTCTATAATATAAGTCATCTTCAATCCATCAATAGCTTACATTGACAGATTATTAAATTCCATTCAACTGTTCATATTTACCACAGACTGAGTTCATCTGTGTTCCTACCACGTATGCAGCAACAGACTGAGCGGAAACTAGACTACACATTTAATGCAACAATTTCCTGGTGTCTGCTCGGTTCATTGCTACTTTAATGGTTTATTATGATGGTAATAGTTAATAAAGATGATGACATCTGTCATTCAGCATCACATGACGCGTGGTCAGTGGTTGGAGGAATGTTATTAGGGCATACAAGAATTTTTTTTATTATTTATTTAGCTCTCTTTGCCTTGATGCTGGACTACTAGCAAATAACACTGTCTTGTGGCACTTTGTGTTAAAACTACTAATAATGGTTAAGATACGCATTGTAAGATTTACACATATATGATGAGTATAATT